GCCCGATCTTTTCCAAAAATGTGGATCCAGTCATAGTAGTATGGCCAGCTTTTATATCGCATTAAGCGAGCATTTGCATCAACCTGTAAGAAGACTATTTAATAAATGGAAATATAGCAAGTACAAAGGCCATGTATGGAAAATTTAAAATTGGTTACCTTTACATAATCAGACCATACCTCGTCCGTTGTCTCAATCATCATTGTGCTTTCATTCCAACCAATGCCAGACCTTGCAAGCATTGTACACAGGCTCGCATAGTCTTTCTTCCATACATTAAACTTGGAGTTAATGTGTGGCACTCCATGCAAATCAGTTTCTGGCAATTGTTTTCTCAGTTCCTGTTCTAGAACGTTCAAAAACCCCATTTTGAATCCATTATCTGCTTTCCAGCCAGTAGTCACAATTCCTTTCAAAGCCCCAATTAGAACTTTTTCCTCTTGCCTGCTCCAACTTCTCCTACCTCTGTCTGCCCTTGGCTTTCTCACTTTTTGTACTCCTCGACCAATGGGTTCCATTCTTAAAGTCACCCACAACAAACAATTCCAACTGAAGAATGTTACCTGGAAGAAGTCTATATAAATGTTGCACCAAAAATAACAACCTTTATAACATGGCGAATTCAGAGTTTGACAAACATATGGGACACAAATTTAGACATCTCTAATAAGTTCAGCAATCAACCAAAACCTCAAATTGCATATAAGAACTGCAGAACAAGCTAATCAAGATAAATATTAAATTACATGTCTCCAAATTAAAGTCACATATCATCTAATACATCTCCATTCGTTGAACATTTCACTAGCAAGCTTGTCCCTCCACTCTGACCATTCGTTTGAGGTCTCTACAACATCAATTAAGAGAGGATCGTCCGCATCACCATCAGTAGTGTCGACTGATTCCTCGTCATTTGTTTCCAACGGGTTATTAGAAGTTCAAGTCGGATGAAATTATGAAGGAGAACACATGCCATGATTAGTCTATTCTGAGTTTTAATGTTGTAGAAACTTGGACTACGAAGGATCGCCCATCTTTTTTTTAAAGTACCAAAACTACATTCCACAACATTTCGTGCTTTAGATTTAACATATTGAAAAATTCCTCCGGTGTCTGAGGTGATAATCTACCAGCTCCCCAATCTTTTAAGTGATATCTTACTCCCTTGTAAGGGGTTAGAAACCCATCTCCATTTGTATAACCGTTATCGCAAAGATAGTAACTTCCTGTTATTAAAACAAGTTATTTAATTTAATTATGCACTTAACTTTGACATATATCTTAATGGAAAAATTTCACTATGTTGAATCTAAATTACCTCGTGGAATTTTTAAACCGTTTGGTCGGACCGCATCCCGTAACACCCGACAATCCGCGGCAGAACCTTCCCACCCACATAGAACATAGACAAAATTTAAATTGCGATCTACAACTCCTAGTACATTTACAGCAACTTGACCCTTCCTTGTTCGGTATCTTGGCTTATCTACCTCAGGTACTGTTACTTCAATGTAAGTTCCATCTAAAGCACCTAGACACCCCTAAACAGTTGAACCACTTCCATCTGTTGTCCACGTTATTATCAACGGGTTCCGGTTTAACAAGCAGAATTGAATGAAGACGCAAAACAACAACTAGAACCTCATGCAAGTAAATGCTTACTGTGTGGCTGGACCTCTTGAAATCAAACTTAACTACTCTCAATTTTTTGTGGTGGGCAATAACTGAAAGGAAGAGTGCCACCTTCTCACTTACTGAAACATATTTAGAATCACACAAGCCTCCGACACTAGAAAGTATGTAACACAGCCTCGAAAAAGCTCCTTTGGTCATTTGCAAATTCTCCAAGCATTCCATCTCATTAAGTGCCACCAAATTGTTCAAATGCTCAATTTGCTCAGGGATTCTATTTGCCATCATGTATCTAACTCTTCTCTCAATATAATTAGTAAACGGTCTACGGCTCTGCCTTCGCATCTTAACGACCATATTCATAAAAAATTATGACTCGTTCATAACTTCCTCTATGACAAGAAATATTTTGGCTTTTGTTTTGGAAATCTGGGCCATTCTAAACTAGTTCTTGGGTATTTAGCTATGACACAAATCAAAAATGGAAGAATAAAAAAAAATAAAAAAAATAAAAAACAAACCAAAAGGGAGATATCAATAACAGTAATTAACCAGCCATGAATGTATAAACTATGTTTCGGCTAGAAATCATAATAGCATACCCAGAAGCATGAAAAAAATATGTAGTGGAAGAAAACAGATATCATGTTCGAATCTCTAAATTAAGTCCTTGTTGTATGTCAAGAAAGGACAATCCACGGTCTGTAGCCACCCAAATCACATGTAAACATGAATCTGTGAATGTGACGGGTTAAAGTTTCAGATCCATAACTCAAATAGCAAAAAAAAAATAAAAAAAATAATAGTAATAAACTATATAGTGAATAATTGCACGAAATAAATTAACATTGGTACTTACATTTTGTTAAATGCGAGAATAAGGGTAACTGATGACAAAAGATTGTACCTTGCAAACATTGAACATAAAAGTAAATTAGGGTTCTAAAATAATGTTGGAAAAAGGGTGAAATTATGACGAATTTAGGGTTCGACGCAAACAAAATTTGAAGGGAAATCCTCGACTAGGGGACAGTATTACCTTGTGGAGAAAATTGATTGCCAAAATTAGGATGATTCCATGGAGAAATTTTTTCTGCAGTCGCCGAGCTTCGTGCGGTCGAGCGCGGCAGGTGAAATGAGAGCAAATGAAGACCTAAAAATCAGATTTCGAGGATATTTTAGTAATAACAATTTTGAAGGAAATGGGTTCATTATTGTATCAGGGAAAAATGTGGGATATGGGCATAATAAAAGGGGTATTGGACAGCGGGCTTTAGCCTTTTCAAAAGCTATCATGCCTCCAACCAAACAAGTTAAACCCATTGAATTTATATTTATTGGGCTGATATCATGCACAATAAGCCCAACCAAACACTCCCTTACGGTACTTTAATGGGTTAATTGTCAAAAAAATCCTAACCTTTTGTTAAATTGCATATAAAACTCAACCTTTTTTATTTTGCACCAAAATACAAACCTTTTTAAATTTTTGCAATCTTGTCTCAAAGTTGACTTCCGGCAAAGGTCCGCTGACGTGGCCGATCGGAAAATTGATGTGGCAATCAAATTAAATAGCTTGTGCCACATCATGAGACACGTGTATTTACACATCACACCCCCTTCACGTCATATAACATGAATATAATATAATTTTATGTTCTTTCAATTCTTCCTCAATTCTTCATCAATTCTTCCGCCCAGAATATAATTTTTATTTCAATGGTGGAACCTTCTCACTTCAATTGCAATAATTAATCAACCAACCCAACAATTCAAATCCTTCACAAAGTAGCAAGAATTTTTAACCGGAAAGTGAATTCTCGAATACGCTATGTGGAATAGTGGACTTGGAGCTCGAGGGAGATGAGGCGGCGGGGAGTGGACGGCTTCGTCGCTGCTCGTGGCCGGAGAGGACGCCGGCGAGGATGGCCGGAGAAGGCGACGCCGGCGAGAGCTTTTGGAGAGGACGACCTTAGGGTTCTCGGGTTCAAACTCCAAAGGTTCGGTAGGACTCTCTTCGTGAATGCCGGTATAAGGAACTTTTGAGAGGAAGGACGAATTTCCGAGATGTTGCAAGGATTTGGAGAGAAATTTGATGTTGAATGTTTGTTGGGAGAAAGAAAATCGCCGGTACACTTGAGGAAATGAGAGTTGTGATAATGCCCTAATTCTGCTCAACGAGCTGCTTAAACTCTTGAGGAAGATTTTTTTTTTTTTTTTNTTATATGACGTGGAGGTAGGTGTGATGTGTAAATACAAGTGTCTCATGACGTGGCACAAGCTATTTAATTTGATTGCCACGTCAATTTTCCGATCGGCCACGTCAGCGGACCTTTGCCGGAAGTCAACTTTGAGACAAGATTGCAAAAAATCAAAAAGGTTTGTATTTTGGTGCAAAATTAAAAAGACTGAATTTTATGTGCAATTTAATAAAAGGTTATAGTTTTTTTGGCAATTAACCCTACTTTAATAGTAAAAAGAAAATAAATAAGCATTTCATTTGTTCTCGCAAATTCTCTCTCGGGACTATGTGAGATAATATATTTGGGGTATATAACAAAAAAAATAAAAATAAAAGGAGAAATCTCATTATTCGATTTGGTTCCAGCTATATTTTTTCTACTTCTGTTTGCTCGTAACTCTTCACTATGCCAGATGCAGATGTCCGTCCGGTGAATTGTTGCCGGAGATTGGTCTCAGATCTGTATGTCGTTTCATCTATGCTATATCATGTCTGTGTATTTATGCTTAGTGTATAGCAGCTGTGATTATGTAGATGCAGTTATTGCGCTTGCCTTTGTTGGCTTTTCGTGTACTCGATAGTTGCTAACTCCCAATTCACGAGATCTTTTATACCATTTGACTAATGTGAGGAAACGGTACGACTTCTTCTGTACAGTTGAAGTGTGCTTGGTATTCTTTTTTTTTTTTTTCGTGATTTTGATAGAAAAGGTTGCAACTTTAGTAGCACTTCGTGATATTGATTGAAGCTGTTCATTTCCGCCTCGTTCTGAATTTCATACTTAGCTGATCTTGGATCCAAGTGCATTTTCTGCAAGAACTAGTGTTAAGAACTAATAGCATTGCTTGAGAAGGAACAAAATATTTTCTAAGTTTTTCTGCCAACATTATATTTTTGGTTAATTTAGGCTACCTAGCTTTGTTTATTACGAACCTGCATCCTCTAATTTCCAGTTAGGTTTCTAAAACATTTGAAATGAGACGTGTGTGATTCCTGATATCTATTTCACCTGGAAAGTGATTTTTTGTATACTTGTATCATGTATGTAGGCAACATAATCGAGGGTAACAAAAATAAAAAATAAAAAAGCAACTGGGGAGGTGCTCAGATCAGATGAGAAGGACTGATGTTACTTGCAGTAGAAGGGGGAGGGTTTTTTTCTTCATCAGCTTCCGGATACAGTAAAGGCCTAACCCTCCTATTGTTAGGCCAAAAAAATGAGGAGAAACCCATGAGAGTGGCTCCGTGGACTCAGTACCAGTTGGTGGACCAAGAAACCGATCCCGATATCCAGCTGGCGCCTGGCAAGAACTGCCTTGTCAGCGGGTGCTTCGGCCGAGCCTCCTCAATTACCGGAACTGACGACTCATGCCCGAAGAAAGTCGGACCGTCCCAGAACCAAGAAGTCCAGCGAGGACCTCAGAAGTTTGATGATGATGATGGCAATAGAAAGATAGGTATAAGTCGCAAGAGTAGCTTGAAGAAATCGGTAGACTTTGCTGATGCTATTGTTGATGGGAGAGGCTTTGGAATCTCAGGTGAAGGAGACAATGATGTATCTTGTCAAATAGAAAGGAGGAAAGTTCAGTGGACGGATGCAAGTGGGGGAGAACTTTTCGAGATTCGGGAGTTTGAGACGAGGTAAGAGAGCTTATGGTGCATAATATGTTATGAAAACTCGAGTTATCCGTATTGGTAAGGGATTGCACGAGTATCTTCTGTGACTTTCAGCTGGTTCTCTGGGTTTTAAATTTTTGTCACAAAGTGTTGAGGGAATATCTTGTCTGCCATTGTGCAAGGGATATATAAGTACAAAATAGGAGGCTAATACCTGCAAGAGGGTCCGTCTTCTATCTTGTGTGGTTTTTATTGTTATGTGTCAAGGACTTCAAAGGCAACTTGTCAAAACTAGTACTTGTTTTATTCATTTATATATTTGTCAGTGCAAATATTGCCAAATGAGAAGGTTCCTTAAGATGCTAGCTGCAATCGTGGTAGTACGAGATGCATAATCTACATTTTTAGTTGGCTTGGTTCTGCAACCAGAGCTCATGTTTAAAACTTGATTATTTGGAGAAGCCTGAGGTACAACGTGCTTTGATTTAATCAGGTGTGGTTGTGCAAAATGAGTTTTCAATTTGTTGACATTAAAACAACTTTTATTTTTTGATAAATTTAAAGCTTGATTGGTAATTATAAGCATTTCAGTTGCAGGGAGCAACTATTTTGAGAAATTTCATGTGCAGCACAGCCATGGATACACTAAATAAGAAGTGAAGTATTTTCATGTATTGCATTTCTGGAGAGTGGTGAATTTCCCTCTGATTAATTTTGTTTGTTAAGGTAGAAAGATGGCCTGGCTTGTTTTACCATCTGATGTGCTGTTGCATTCTATTAAGTTATTTTTTTTTGTTTGTTAAGGTAGAAAGGTGGCCTGGCTTGTTTTACCATATGATGTGCTGTTGCATTCTATTAAGTTATTTATTTATTTATTTTTTATTTTTGAAAATAAAAAACAAGCATTATATTTAGCAGATACATGTCTATTTGCATGTATTTGTGCCAACCATTGGCTTTACTAATTAAGAATTCTATATTTCCTCAGTGAAGATGGATCAGATGATGAATTTGACCTTGAGAACGGGAAGACTTGTGCGTGCAGGATAATGTAGCCACATCTCTTCATTGTGGGCTTTCATGTAAGCTTCAATTCAAACAGAAAGGCAACATGTAATATGTTTGCTTGAATTGCCGTGAGGCAAAATCTTGGTCATCTCCTAGCTCGATTGTTGGAAGATGGGAAAACAAATTTGAGAGGTTGTGTGTGATAATTCGATGGTTGGTCAATTTGATCTGTCCATGTTATTGCTCGCATTCCAGTTTTGGTGCTATGGGCTTTTCTATTATCTAGTTGATATTCATTCTTCATTGTTTTTTCAGATTTCTAGTTGTTTGAGTTAGGGAGGTTTGTTCTCCATTTCTTTGGGTTGATGGTGGATGATGCTTTGTTTATTTTTTCGTGATCCACCATGTGGAGTAGAATTTCATTTGAAATATATGTGAAGTTTTACAAGGACTTTTATTGCAATTGGGGTGGTGGTTATGGGGAATTGGATATCTTCTTTTGATGATTTATTTGGGGTTTCTTTTAATGATTTTGTATTAAGTTAGAATTTTGAGTAAAACTTTAAGACTTTGAAATATAAAGGGTGTATTAATTCTAAAATTTTAAAGACTTTTTGAGATTTTTATGAATCTCGGTGTTATTTATTTGACATTTTATAATCTCAACTCTTAACAAGTCTGTGACTTGTGAGGTATTCGTTTGAGATTTCAAAGTCTTCAAAAGACATAAGGGGGTGCTTGTTTGTGGAATAATTTATTCAAAATGAATTATTTTGGTTAATCATAGTTAATTTTGAAAAATGTGGTATGGTTAGTTGTTAGTGGAATTTTAAGAATGTATTAAAATAATAATTAAAATAAAATGATAAAAATTGATTTGATGTAAAAGTAGGAGATAAATGATTGAAAATGATTGAAAATGATAGGTAGTTAAAATTTTGTGAGTGGATGAATAGTGAATTAAAGTTGATGTGATGTGGAAGAATGATTGGTTTGTATAATTTAATTATATAAATAATATTAAAGATAGTGTAGTTGAGTTAGATTTTGAGTATGAATTGAATGAAAATAAAATAATTTATAAACAAGTATGTCCTAAGTAATTCAATCTGGAATGTTCTCCCTGAGTATCTCTCTTGGTATGAGGGTGAGCATGGTCTTCGTGAGGGCCATGTTTGGTGGGTAAAAACTCTCGAGCGATGCCTTGCTTGAGGCAAGTTCGAGAAGAGGTTTGACCTCCTTAAGTCTACTCCCTGACCTGTGCAGTGAATCCTGACGCATCTGAGGCCAATGCAAGCCATCCGAGCAACTATCCTTCTCGGCCCCCCCGAGTCTACTCCAAATGCTCTCCCTGAGCAAACTTTTACTTCGATTTTATGAAGAACCTCTTTTGTTTTATAATTTGCACTTTTACTTCGATTTTATGTATATCAACCTGCAATCGAGGTCTCCCAAAATCGATGCTGTCTTTGAAAAAATATTCCAAATCTACTTGATTGACATGTAACTAAGGTCTCCAAGAATGATTTAACACTTTAAAAATTATGATATGATAATTAAGTCACCGTAACCGACCTACCACTGATGTCTTTAAAATTAATTCAACATAGTAAAATTTTGAGTAGAAATTATTTTTAATTACTCCACCTACTGTTGAGGTCTCCCAATTAAAATGCCATACCTAACAAGATTTTGTAATTTTATGGTATCTCATATCAGGTTACATGTCATAAATATTAAATAAATGATCATAATTAATGTTAGTATTCGAATGTATTTTTATGTTAATCAATATTCCTTCATGACTATAATTTATACCATTTATATCATTACTCTCTCATGCATCCCAGTAATGATATGGAGCCAATTATTGACTCCGTTAACAGTTGACTCCTTAGCATTATTGATGAATATAAATATAAATAATAATCCCATCCCTAAACATTTGACTAAAAACCCTCGACACCACCATGCATGTTTTTCCAGAAACTTGGCCACATCTTATCCACAATCCATAACTCCCACACTATCACTGATTCACAACCTCCTCGCTTCCCAAATCATAGAAAAACACACAACTTTAAACGATATAAGTTGCAGAAAACAATTGAGAAATAAAATAGAATAAAGAAAATGTCCGTGGTGACGTCACATTCATTCAAATTCCCAAACCCTTCATCTCCATCACCATCGTCCTATTCTGCATATTCACCATCTTCTTCTTCTTCCTCTTCCTTCAAGTTCACCATAAGGAGCTCTCAGGCTGAGGGTCCTCTAAGACGACCGGTGGCTCCGGCTCCCATAAAGCCCGTGCCGCCATCCCCATCACTGCCTAATTCTCCGCCGCCCAAGCCCGCGGCGGCGGCGGGGGACAAGAGTGCGATCACGCTGGAGTTCCAGAGGCAGAAAGCCAAAGAGCTTCAAGAGTATTTCAAGCTGAAGAAGCTCGAGGAGGCTGATCAGGGCCCCTTTTTCGGTTTCATAGGAAAAAATGAGATTTCTAATGGAAGGTAATTTATGAAGTCAATTATGAATTCCCCCTTTACTACGCGTGCTGAATTTGATTAGGGATATGTTCTTCATTTTATTCTTTTGGCATCTGGATTAATTTAAGTGTCTGATTTTGTTCCTTGTTGAGATTAGACACTATGATTTTAGTCTTTGTTATGTAAAGATTCGAATTTGTTCATTGATGTTATGAATTTTTCTGGAGTGATTGTGTACTTTTCTTCTTTTTAAGCTGAACTGCTGAAGTACGTAATTAAAACTAATAAGAATGAGCTCAAAAAGAATTTCTTGTGGAATGTAAGGGTGGCAGCTCGTTCGAATCTGATTTTCTCCAAGTGAAAACCGTAGTCTAACAATCTTTTTTACCTCTTTAAAACAGTATGTTTGAATTCAACTAAGGAGAACTCTGCTTCATTAATTTCTTGGCACAATACAGTTGGCTTGAAGACCTAATGTATGCATCAAGCTACAACTCAGATGAACTATTTTGGTTTTAATAGAGACAGAACATAATAAGCTTAAAGCTAGAGATTCGGCCCAAGTCAAGTTTAATATATGATCTTCTGTGTGATGCATAACTGTGGTTGCATTTAATTGTTATTAGAGGCCTTGTCAAACTAAGTTCAAGATGTTGATCCGTGTTGTCACTGTATAAGTAGCATTAACCCCTTCATTTCTGTCTTCACGGTTTATTGTTTATGCATGATGAACAAACACTCGAGACGGTCAAAGTTTGCATTATGTTTTCAACCATGTCTATGGCTTCTACCTTATCGAGGTTCTTAACTTTTGTGTGAAATTGAAACAATCCAACTCGAGCTTTATCAACGTGAAAGAACCTCACGCGCTTGTTTGGAGTTGTAAGAATTGTAGCTCGAGCATTTGTTGCAATTAAAAATGTTAAGTTTTTACCACCCACCTTAATATAGTTGCCTGAATCGATTACCATTTTCATAATTCGTACCAATAATTTTCATCTACATTTATGATGTTGTGATGTTTGATGAGCAGATGGGCAATGTTCGGTTTTGCGGTTGGGATGTTAACAGAGTACGCCACAGGCTCGGACTTTGTGGATCAAGTCAAAATCCTTCTCTCCAATTTCGGAATTGTAGATCTCGAGTGATTTTTTTTTTATTTTTTTTTCCAACAAAAAAAACTATCATTTAGATTGTAATGAGTTACCAGGACAACAGTGTTACGGGCAGCAAGGGTATAAAGCTACTCTTATATGTAATTTGACTTCAGACCAGTAAAACTTTTGGTTGTCAAATAATCAATATGAAGAGTATAAAGTCCAATTTGAAGGGCCATAAACTCTTGGGAATGCAACTGTTTCCCAGATTTTGCAGAATTTGACACGTATATATGAAGAACCTAACCATAATTGCACCATATTAATGTTGACACTGTCTTAACATATTATGTAGGGCCAAAGAAAAATAGCTGGCCTAGTAATGAGACTGCAAAAATGTCCAAACCCAGGTGGAAGAAAATCCCAGTTCAGATTCGGATTAAAGATATGAGAAGAAAAGAATATGCCATATCAAATCATAAATTCAACACTTGATCAAAGATTTCTTTAGTCCACATTATGTTTGGTCCAGCTTGAAGCTAGGATGCAGGAAACCAGATCTAAGGAAGATATTCAGTATACAAAGTCTTAAATTGAAAAAAAAAAAGATTAGCTTGGTTTTAAGTGGCCAAAACCCGAATCTCCTAAGTTCACACATATTTTTATTTCTTAATCAGAACTTAAAATTCACTGTTCATCTAGAGCTTAATTTCGTTCAAAGAACTCAACATTCACCATAGCAACCAACCATAGCAACTGAAAATACTCATTGGAAATGGTTTTAATGGAGTTGAACGAGAAATTCTTCCCGTAAAAAAATGAATACCACCCGAGCATGTTTGTTTATATATATTTTTTGTTTTGTTTGGAGTTTTTGGTTTGATTTGGTTAATTTTGAAAAAGGTGGTATGGTTAGTTGTTAGTTGGTATATTAAAATAATATTTATAATAAAATAATTAAAATTGATGTTATGTAAAAGTAGAAGAGAGATATTTGAAGTGATGGTTAGGTAAAATAATGTGAGTGGATGAATAGTGAATTAAGGTTGATGTGGTGTGTATGAATGATTGATTGATATTATTTAATTATATTGATAATTTTGATGATAGTGAAGTTGAGTTAAAAAAAATGATTGAATTAAAATGTTAGAATTTTTATCAAACAATGTTCAAACCAACACTAATATATCATCACCCCATAAAACCAAAGGTTTCTCCCATTTCAACACAATCCGCATTCAACAAGTACTATGCTAAGTATACCTTGAGCTATTTTGTGAAAATTCAACCTTAGCTTCATACTCCACTTCCTATGTACACCTTCCGAAAACAATGGATAACGACAATCATTTTCACTCAAAAATCCCGTCTAGGCGCTTGACAACCTCCTTCATGATCGGCCTAGTCTTACACCTTTCGTCCGCACATTGTACCCCAATTTAAAAAATATCCACCACCACATGGTCGTCAAGGCCATCTCTCAAGATTTCAGGGTCCACCATCTCCATGTACCTCTTGTAGAATATTACCAAGGTTAGAAAGACACGAAGTCTTCTAGAACAGTAATTAAGTTGGGAGGGATTATGACTTTTAGAAGAGAAGGAGTTTCCTAATTCTATTTGGAAAAGCCTATATTTAACACGTTCTTAATGTCATTAATGTAGCCTGTAAGTACACTAAATCCCAACTCCTACATATAGATATATGCCGTCCGATTTTTGTCTTCAAAAAGAGGAAAAAAATTGAGTGAAATATTTAGGAGAGTTCGGGAGTTTTCTTTAGTTACACCACCAAGACTATTCAAAGTAGGTGTAAGGGCAATATATTAGAAGATTATAAGGTATAATATTTCGAGATCCTGACGAACATATTATTACCGGAAAAATATTTCAGCGACCAACAATAGGTCACCGGAAATTATTCACGGCAATCGCTCGAAGCCGGCGACACCTCGCGACCACTCGACGATGCTCAGTCCAATCACGACGCTCGACCCCAGTGACATGCTGCTCGCGACGCAACGACCCGAGGCTGCGCCCAGTGACGCTGCGACGCTCCAACACCTAGGCGTACCGAGACGACCAGTGCCCAGCTACACCGCACGGGACGAGATTCTCGCACGTCGCGATGCTCCAGCTCCCAGGTGACCGCGACGACCCGCGAGGTTCTCAGCACTAGACGCGTAGACCCGCGACGACCTCGGACAGCGCCAGACGCTCACGCAGGCCAGCGAGACGCAACGCCTAATGCGCACGAGCTGCATGCAGCACCCGACATGCACGAGCCTAAGGCAGCGCCCAGCGGGACCCGATCGCATTCCCGAGACTCGTGATCAACCGAGGAGGCCAAATATGGCTGCCCAACGGACTCTGCAAATCAGAAGATATCCTACAGAGCAAATATACAATGTCTTCGAGTCGGCAAAAATTTTAAACGATAAGTCCTAATCCTAACTATAGATTTCGCTGCGTTAGGATTTAATTCGCTAGATTCAGATGTGCATATCGATGACGTTCCTAATAGCAGTGTTTTAAATACCGTACCGGTGGTCATACCGGTCTAGCCACCGGTACGCGGTATTACCGGTCGGACCGGTAATATCGGTGGTATTACCTGATTAGTAAATATAATTATATATATAAATATACATAAAAATATATAATACCAAATGCAAAAAAGTAAAAAAATAAATGACCATAATCATTAATTTCAACTTCTCAATAAGATAAAAATAAAACATTTAAACTACCAATTTAAATTTTATTTTTTAAAATTAAAAAAAAAATTATTTTTTTTCTGGCCGGTATTTTGCGGTTTTTACGGTATGATCCCGGTACAAACTGGTATAACCGTAAATCCGGTATTTTGAGTGTAATTGTACCGTACCAATGGTCGGTATCTGGTATTACCGGCCGGTACGGTACGGTATTTAAAACATGGCCTAATAGAACCCAACACTTTACACACACACACATACACAAGCTCAACAGAAACTGCCGCTTGGCCGTCAGCAATTTCTCTGCCACAAACATCGACGGTCACGTCACCACCGACATTATCCCCGCATCTGCCATAGCTTGCTACCACCGTCACCAACCCCACCGCTCGCTCGTCAATAGCCCTGCCACCATTGCTTCCAATAGACCCGCCACAGTCTGTCGCTGCCACCGCCACCACCGGTTCCCAACAGCCCAGCCACCGCCGCCAACTCATAGGTACGTCGCTGCTCTGGGACCGCGAAATCATCCTCCGATCGCCAAGGCGACCTTCATGGTGAGAGCCGCACCCATGTCAACAACGAGGACCGATGACAAAGGGTGATTTTTTAGGCTTTTTTTTTTTTGAAAATTAGATAGGTTCATGGGATTCATTTGTAATTTCTTATTTTTTAATATATTTACATTTTAATACCTGAGGACAATTTTTAATTTAATGACAAATCAATACATGCACAATAATGATACATAAGATGCACAATATTGCGTGAGGACATGTACATTAAAAATTCCATAATATAAAAACCTGAATCGAATATTTTAGATCGGTTGATTTAGGTCGCTATTGTGCAGTCTGACAAACATTAATGGGCTCGTGGCACAGCTACTGATTCAGCATCTAACATTAATGTGTACGGTTTTAGTCGCTATTGTGCAGTCTGAACCAACTGAACTTTTATTCCAAACTAAATTGAAACCTAACCGAAGTACTTGGTTTGTTCGATCGGTTAACTAAATTATCCTAAACAATCTAAATAATTTATTATTTATATCACAAAAATGTATTTAGTATTTTAATATTTTATATTATTTTTGGTTGAAAGAATTATATATGAAATACCGAAACCGATAGTGTGCATTTACACATACACTAATATGCATTTAGTCTACCACTATTGTGCAGTATGTGGAGGGAGTAATTTTTATGTGCATTTCAATTTTATAAAATATAAAAATAATATTTTTATATAGTTCGATTGAGCCTGCGATTTTTTATTTTATTTTATTTTGTAGTTAAAGCCGAAACTGAACCGCAATAACCAAAATTTGATATTTGTGAATATGGACATTGTTATGCTAATGTGATTTCTCCAAAGCATTAATGGACATTCATTCTAACACTATTGTGCAGTCTGATACTCATTAATTTTAATATTTTATATTATTTTTATTTATTATTTGAATTTATATGTATTATAAAATATATAAAAATAATATTTTTTTTTCTAAAGTTTTTATAAATTAGAGATTTGGCTCATCGACAAAATTAAAATATAATTTAAAAATTTTTGTTTTGCAATTAGGTCATTAGCGAAAAGGGGATGGAGGTCGATCCAGAGAAAGTAAAGGCTATACAAGAGATTCCCGGTCCGAAGATGCTAAAAAGAATCGTAGGAAATCATTTGATAACGCGATCAATCAGACTCGTAGGAAGGAATCTCCATTAGATAGGTGAGTGAATGAGTAACATTCCATTTATTCATGAAAAGAGACGTCCCTTTTGAAGCCAGAATGGATTTTCTAACCTCAAAGATATATCTCCCAGTTCTGACAGGAACAGAACTCTAGAATCCAAGGAGGACCTACAAAGATATATCTCCCAGTTCTACCAGGAGCTATTCACTTCTGAAGGGTCTACAAGTGAGGACAGAATTCTTCAGCTCATACCTCAAACAATTACACAGGAGATGAATTTGGATTTAATAGCTGAAGTAGAGGAGGAAGAAATTAAAAACTGTCTATTCTCTATGAATCCATTGAAAGCACCGGGTGAAGAAGGCATGACAGCTTTGTTTTACCAGCATTTCTGGCCAATCATCAAGAAGGACCTTTGCAAAGCAGTGAAGAGTTTCTTCCTCACAGGATTATTTCTCAGATATTGGAACCATACCCTTGTGACCCTAATTCCCAAATGTGACAACCCAACATCTCTCAATCAGTACAGGCCTATAAGTCTCTGTGCTGTGGCTTACAAGGTTATATCCAAGATACTGGCCACAAGACTGAAGAACTGCTTACATCAGTGTATCAGCATATCTCAAGGTGCCTTCATTCCAGGAAGACAAATGCTAGACAATGTGATCATTGCACAGGAATGCTACCACTACCTGAACAGACACAGATCAGGGAAACATAGCTTCATGGCTTTGAAGCTTGACATGATGAAAGCTTATGACCGGGTTGAGTGGAGATGTCTGAGTGCTTTAATGATGAAAATGGGCTTCGATGGTAGATTTGTTAAATGGATTATGCACTGTGTGTCTTCAGCCACCTTTTCCTTTATGCTCAATGGAGAGGCTGTGGGTTTTGTACAACC